AACACCCTTTCTACTTACTCAGCAATCCAGGTACCATATTCACTTTGCAAATCAGTCACGTAGAAGGCACCATCCTTGTAGCTGATACGAGCGTGCATATCCGAGACCTGAATTAAGAAATACCTCATCGCTCAATCTAGAACACACCAAAAAAAAAGGAAGAAATAGGTTTGTTTCTGGAGATAAATGTAAAGTGAACAGAAGCGGTCAAATCACCTGGGGCGAGCGTATTGTTATTGATGTTCCAGAAGCATCCCCATGTGGTACGCTCCTCCTACGACTAGGAGAAAACATCATTAGAATTTTCTTATTTAGAACATCTTACTGAAAACACTTGTGCCTTCCAAAATATAAGGCAATGTGCGGTTGATGGTTCTGTTCTATACAACAATATAATGTGTGTCTTGTAGGGGAGGACGGGAATGATGGGTATGTAGGCATACCCGATTATGCAGGATGTTTTCTCATCTCTATTCAAACAAATAAGTTGCGAAGCATCATTGTCTTGCCCACAAGGTATAAGATACCACCTACAAGAACAAATTGAATATCAACACAACTACCCTGGATTACTAAATTTACTGAAAATATTTTGTAGATTATGATGACAGAAACTGGGATAAAACTTACTCTCCGTCAATAGCACACTCCAGTGCATCATCGTCTTCAAACCATGTTCGTAACTGGTCACTTGCCTTCATAAAATTTGTCCGCATATTAGCAGTTAAGTAACAATAAAGTCCAAAAGGCGATCCGAAGATGAAGGAAAGAAATAACAATTTCTATACACTGCTGATGAATAACACTTTGAACAACGTACTTTATCTGAGAGCCTGCAACTGGGTGACCTTCCTTCAAGTTTTGAGCTGCAAAGAAACATCGTCAGTTTCTCGGTAGAAAAGTATCCGTTTAAAACACATGAAGGTCTATGATCCAAGCGCCAACAGATTAAATTGTAATAAGATTTTTATAACTAAAACAAAAAAGAATGAGCAAAAGACACAGAAAGTTACAGTTGATCAAAATTTTACCTGTTACCACCTAAGACCCAGCTCAGCATCAAGGGCATTGCCTTATCAATAAAAACCCTCCCACCAACTCTTCCCGGATGTGGTATCCGAAACTTGGTCAAAAACTACAAGGGAATTAAGCCAACATGAGTACATATGCACCTTCGTTCTATCATCTATTCATTTAACTGATTTTCAGTATGTACTTAATAAAAGGTCTTACCGACAAAGGACCAAGTCCCACTCCCAGATAAGCCTTGTAAGTGGAAGCCATTAGTGCAGCCATTCTGGCCATTCCATGAATAATGGCAACCCGCAGTCTTCTAGAATTCTCATAGCTGAAGATAAAGTAAAAAAACTCACCAAAGTCTATACAACAACTGCTTTGGCGTATAACTTAAATCTACGATTTTCATTTTAAGAACACTAAGATTCAGATGCATCAGGAAGTGTCATCAGCTTATCTCAATTAACTTTCATCAATATAATAGTGTGGGGTTACCTTCTCAAAGAAGAATTAATGTCAATAGGAGTTCCCGATTCGCTACTTTTCTGCCATGCTTTATCAAGCTCCATGGCAAGTTGATAACCGTCCTGTGATGATTAAGTAATAGGGTCAGAAAGAACGCTCAACAACATGATCTGGGTGATGGATAATGCCCGGTGTTGAACCAAATCAGTGCAATGCATACCTCAATGGCCATGCATCCCCCTTGACCCATATTTGGCTGCATAGCATGAACAGAATCGCCAAGCAAGGTTACACGACCCTTTCCCCAGGTTAGGATGGGTGTCCTATCATATATGTCTCGTCGTAGAATTGCATCTTCCTCTGTGGTAAGTAACAAATCTATCACATTATCACACCAGCCCTCAAATATTTTGAGCAGCCTTTCCTTTTTACCTGCCAAAAAATGGACAAGAACAAATGAATTGTATGTTTCTACTATCATAAAGAGTATAAGCACACACATATATCACCATCTGACGTTTTCAACTACGTAAGAAAGGCTGAGAATCTCAATCTATACCATTGGGCCTATCAACACCACCAGGTGCTTCCTTGTGAAATGCATACCACTGCATCTTTCCTGCACCGACATCTGAAGAAACAAAGTATTGTTTGTGCCCCAAGAATACGCGGTACCTTCAGAAGATAAGTTTAAATTTAAGTCTTCACGCATAATCTAACCTGACATATAAGAAGACAATGAAATGGTGCAAATGCCAGTAAACCCGTAAACTAGCCATACTTAAAAAAAATAAAAGGTCAGACATACCCTACAGAATTTATGTCAGCAGGCACAAAATCTGCGATACCAGTATAACAAGTGTAACCAGAGTAAACAGCGTCCGTTAATCCAAACAAGTTCTTCCTCACCTACTCACAAGAAAACGTAATTTGATTTCAACTTAATATTTTTATAATGAATATACTCTGCAGATTATGGTATATAAGTAGACAATATTTCACATGTGCGCCCAGAATTTTGAGCCTTGGAATTTTGCAATACCTTTGACCATATACCATCGGCCCCAACCAGAACATCGCCTTCAAAACGCTCACCATTCTCAAGTATCACATTGACCTATTAAATTGACAAAGGTATAAGAATTCTTACCAACTGCCAAACCAGATGAATTCTACGCAGTTCGATTACATTGAAGTAGCACTGCGAAGATGCACATTATATAAAGACACAAACAAAAAGTAGGAAACACTTTCACAATTTTTTTTCACATTTCTAAGCGACAAACAACGGTACAAACAAGATTTAAGTAATTAACGGGTAGTATGAGATCATTACCTTATCTCCAACATCCTCAAAGTTAACAACATTACTACCATTTATAATAATATCGTCCCCGACAGCACGAGCAAGTATTTGTTGCAATGTCATTCGGCTTATAACTCTTGTAACTGGAAGCCCCCGTTCCACTGCAGGAGTGAATGTATCAAACTTGACATACCTGATAATCAACTAATCATCAATACATTTGAATGGCTGCATACAAATCATCAATACTTGTACGGAATCATGTAAATTGTGTTTTGAAAATTGAATTGAACAATTTCTATCTTTATGATAAAAGATTTTATTTTACATAATTTCTTCATCCATTATTCTTCTTGGTTTTCATCAATTAAACAAGAAAATATAATCCTTTTGACTTCTTCTCATTATCTCATAAAGGAGTAGGTAAATTCCCAAATTATTTTAGCCTAAAAACAATCAAAAGGAAACAAATTTAGCAATCAATATAAACTTGATCACTTAAAAAACTCTAGAAAAACTCTTATAAGCTACCAGTCCAAAACAACCACTGTTCGTCATCGAGTCCAATCGAATCATAGACACCAAACGCGACCTGGATCAATCAAAACAACTTACCAAGTACCAGAAACCCCATCAACGAGTCCATTGATCCTATCCCCAGTAACACAACCAACCGTCATAACCTCCTCAGCAACATCCACATCAATGGCTTCCAACGCCGCCAACGCATTACTCTGTATCTGAATAGGACCTCTGTACTGCCCCTCTCCTCTCACAGCACTCAAATCCTTCTCAAACACCACCACATCAAATCCCTTCTTTTTCGCCGCCAGAGCAAAAACCAGCCCTCCGATTCCACCGCCAGCAACCAGAATTCTAAGGTTCTTCTTCTGCTGGGTCGGTGCGGGCGCACTAGTGGAGGCCTCTTCGGGTGGCGCCGCCGTCGCAGCTCTCACCTCAGTCAAACACTTCTTATTCCCAGTTCTTGCTCTGCTTCTCAAATGGCAGTTGTAGTGAAAATATGGGGAAAATACAAGTGGGAAGTCTTTGTTGGCGGGACACGGTAGGTGGGATCTTGAGAAAACTACCGCCGATGGGTTCATGGAGTTGCAGAAAACAGCGGAAGCCATAGGTTTGTGCTCTGAGAAGCAAAGAAGAAAGAACAAAAACAAAAAAAATGAAAGCTTCGGGCTTTCTTCCTCTGTGTGGAAAGATAACGACTGGGAGTCTGAGGATTTGAGGAGGGAGAAAAAATGGAGGGAGAGAGAGAGGGAGGGAGATAAAATAATCTAGGTGACTGGGAGCCACAACCTTCGAAGGCTTGAATTGTCCACCAATCATGGAGATTCTCAAGCCATGTGGCAGTTTGTGGGCGAGACAAACACTTATTTTCTCAAGAGGGAAAAATTAAATCTTTTTTGAAGTGGTGGTGGGTTGATTTATTATTTTCATTATTTGCGAAAAATAGTAACATTGGGGCTGGATTTCAACTTCCTAATTTTTTTTTTCTGTACTTTGTCTTGACTCTTGATTGTAAACTGAAACTGGAGAAGAAAGTGATCGTTGGAGTTTAAATATCTTACAAGTATGAAGTGTGGACTTTTACCAACTTATCTTCAATATTATCTTTCTGAATTATATATTTTATGGCAAACGTTAAAATGATTTCTTTTTTAGTTTAACACATTAAAGTAGAAATTCAACTGCTTAATAGCTTAATTTGTCGGCCTACAATATAGAAATTTTAAAAAATGCGTGTAGTTATTTTTCTCGATAATCATTCTATCAAGCCCTTTTCTTCCCCTCTCTTCTCTGTCGATTCTTTTCCTTCTTCCTTCTCTAAATTTATACAGCAACACTCCATAAGTTTTCTCCCTACATTTATCTTTATTTAATTATTGTACAAGGTTTGGAAGTGGTTGGTGTAATTGAAATTTGTTTCTTTGAGTATATATAACCGGATTTTAGAGTAACTTAAATTATGTGAAGCATGAGGTATAGGATTTATTCCACCGTATGAAAACTAGAAATTTCATGTGCCAAACCATTGACATGGAACATGCATCTATTGCCTTTTCGTGAATTTAGAGACCAAATTTGTGAGGAAAAATATATGAACTGAAGCATTATGGTGGTGAAAAACATGTAAAATATATAAACAGTTAGGGTCAACCTTCTTCGACGGCGCATGCGAGTGCAAAGTAAATGTGTGATGTGTGGAGGTGCGGAGGAGACGGAGAATCACCTGTTTTTTGCATGTGAGTTTAGTCGTGTTTTGTGGTACTGTTGCTTTTTGCAGATAGATATCACGGCTATTATTGGGCGAGATTTTCATGAGACTTGGAAGGGGTTATGTATGAGATTTCATGAAGATGATAAGAAGGATGAGTTGCTGCAGGAGTGTGTGTTTATTATGTGGAGAATATGGAAGAGTAGGAATGAAATGGTGTTTCATGAGGTGTTAAATGATCCCATGGATATGATTCACTTGGTACGTAAGCAACTTTTGGAATTTAGAGTTTGCACCTCAGTGGCAAATCATGAATCTGGGGGGAGTGACGCCGTGGATGGGGCTGTATTTGCTGGACAGCCAGTACGGTGGAAGCGGCCAGGTTTTGGGGTGATTAAGGTCAACTGCGATGGCGCATGGTGCTCTAAGACATGCAAAGGTGGATATGGCTGGGTAATGCGGGATTTTGCTGGTTTGTTGAGTGTGGCTGGAGGGGGGGAGGAGGGTGGACTATTCTTCAACACGGTGGCTATGGTGGAAGCTGCGGCAATTCGTGCAGCATTATTGGTTTGTCTGGAGTTGGGTTATGAGGAAGCGGAGATCGAGTCTGATTCTCAAGTGATAATTAGTATGATTAATGGGAATTATGTGGTGGGTGCGACTTTGGAATGCTATATTCATGATATTGGTCAGTTGGTCTCTCAATTTCGAGGGGTGAGGTTTGGTTTTGTCAAGCAGAATGGAAATGCCGCTGCTCATGCTATCGCCTCATACGTTGCCTCACTTAGAGTTGCCTTCCATTGGGATGCTATTGGTCTGGAATTTTTATTTAATATTCTTGCTGAAGATGTAAACATTCATATTAGAATTTAATAAAGTTTGCCTTTTGACAAAAAATAAAATAAAAAAAATAAGCGGTGGTGTGGTCCTAAGAACAGAAAGATATTTAAGATATGATTAGTATTAATTAAGTATACCTTAATTAAATAATAATCTGAGTAGTATCCTAGTAGCGACAAACGAAATGGGTATCGACTGTTGCGCAGAAATTTTTTAAAATGTATCAAAATAGGGTGAGATGTAATAAATAGTTTAATTTTTTTAAATATTCAATTATTTGTATTATAATATTTAATGTACCATGTTTTAGTTTACTGAATAATATCTCCTATGACATTCGTGTGTGTTGTGTTGTTGTGATTGGTTTGATGTTGCTTTAACTGTCCCATTAAACGACAATGTCATTCATTGTTGTTGGGGCCCAATAATTAGCTGACACAGCTTAAGTGTATGTGGCACTAACAAAGAACCTCCTTGGACGAGAGATTTTTCAGTGTGATCGTCATATGAAGTGATACATCACGTGTCCCTATATAAATGGTGGGTTATGTATGTTAAAAGGTTAATAACTTAAAAATTAAAAATTTCCACCACTTGCATAAAAACACGTGATGTATCATTTGTGTTCCCGTCACAACTAAAAATTTCTTCTCCTTGTTCCCACGAACTAGGTGTCAGAGTCCCCGAGCTAACACGAGTCTAATGGTTTTCATCACTTCCTATAGCGCGGCTTTTTTCTTTGAGGAAAAAGAGAAAAAAATGTTGTTTAAAATGGATTACGCGTTACGCCATTGACACAAGCGTATTAGATTTTTTATTGGGTAATTTGTGAAGTGCATTTTGGTATCACAAAACAAAATTAAATTCTAACACAAGCTATTATTGGTCACTTTGTGACCAAAAATACAGAATTCTTGCAGACATAATTTACTGAACAATTATGGAGGCCAGAGAGAGAGGGGGTGTGGTGCATAGTGTAACACCCAGTCCTTGAAATATTTATTTTCAGGAATTAATTTTGTTGATGCACCCAAATTAAAATCTTGTTTAGTTCACTACTATAGTTATTTATTTTCTATTTCAATTTAAATCTGTTGATGCATAAAATCAGTGAGAACTTTGGTACAACAGAAAGTGTTAAGTTTGTGACATTCGCTAGATTGCTCCGGTCACTAGTGTGGATAAGTATGTAAATGGATAGAGACAGGGAAGCAAACACAAGATGTACGTGGTTCACCCAGATTGGCTACGTCCACGGAGTAGAGGAGTTCTCATTAATTGTGAAGGGTTTACACAAGTACATAGGTTCAAACTCTCCTTTAGTGAGTACTAGTGAATGATTTAGTACAAATGACATTAGGAAATATTGTGAGAGAATGATCTCTATTTATAGAATAGAGTTTCTAGTTTCATTCTGACATTGACACGTGTCATGTTGTGATTGGCTTTTGATGTCGACACGTGTCGCACTGTGATTGGCCTCCTGGTTGGAGGGAAACTCTTATGGGTCCTTGATGGTATAACGTTGACTGGTGCTCAGTAGTTTTAGGATTGGTCAAGTATGGTATAAACAGTGCTCCCCTAAGTTCTCGAGTGAGGGAAGCTCCTCGTTTGGGGACTTGCAAGATCCAAGCCATTGAGTAATCACGAAACTTCTAAGTACCGAAGTGTGGTATCATTTTCACTTGCCTTATTTGTCTCATATAAATCGGGGTAATCCAACTATCCCCCTGTTGTAAGTTACACACTTCCGCAACCATGGTGCTTAGTACTGCCAACAATTTGACCTGAATTTTTCTCCCAATCTTGTCTTCCACCTCTGAGGTGAGGCGTGCCAAAGCATTTGCATGACTGTTTGTCGCTCGAGGAATTTGGGTGATCTGGTAGTGGAAGTGCTTGAGCAACAATTGTGTTTGTGCTAGATATGCTGCCATGAAGCTATCCTTAGCGTTAAAGTTATTGGTGACCTGGTTAACCACCAATTGGGAGTCACTGAAGATATCAATTCGTTTAACCCCATGGTGTTTGGCCAAACGTAAGCCTGCTAGGAGGGCTTCATATTCGGCCTCATTGTTTGACGCCTTGAATTTGAAACGAAGAGCATACTCCATCGCCACTTTGTCAGGGGTCGTAAGGACTAGTCTTGCTCCACAACCTTGTTGGTTGGACGAGCCATCAACATATAGACTCTATGCTGAGGCTGTTGGTTTTATTTTCTGAGCTTCCGAGGGTAATGAAATCACTTCTTTAGGTGTAGAAACAATGTCAACAGGATATGTGAAGTCGGCGATGAAGTCTGCCACTGGTTGGCCCTTCTCAGCTGGCTTTGGTTGGTAGGAGATGTCAAACTCACCCAATGCTATTGCCCATTTGATCATTCGCTCAGAAGTGTTAGGACTTTGGAGTATCTGTCGAAGATGATGATTGGTAAGCACAATGATGGAGTGTGCTTGGAAGTAAGGGCAAAATTTTTGAGCAGACATGACCAATGCTAGAGCCAATTTCTCAATGTTGGAGTATCGAGTCTCCGCATCTTGTAAGGCCTTACTAGTGTAGTAGACAAGCCGTTTGACATTACCATAATTTCGAATGAGAATAGGACTTACTACTGAAGCCGATACCGACAGATAGATAATGAGAGTGTCACCAATCTCAGGTTTGGAGAGAAGATGGGCTTTACTCATGTAGTCTTTGAGGTTCTTGAATGCCTCAGCACATTCATCAGTCTATGTAATGTACTTCTTACTTCCCTTAAGTGCTTTGAAGAAAGGAGCACATCTGTCTGTGGCCTTAGAGATGAACCTAGTTAAGGCTGCCACCTTGCCAGTAAGGCTTTGGATATCTTTTGAAGTTACCGGTTCCTTCATGTCGAGGATTACTTTGATCTTCTCGGCATTAGCCTCCGTTGGCTTATCATGAAGCCTAAGAATTTGCCAAAGCCTACGCCGAAGGCACATTTGTTGGGGTTCAACCTCATTCAATACCTCTTCAGAATGGTGAAAGTTTCAGATAGGTTGGTGATGTGTTGGTCATCATGTTTGCTCTTGACTAGCATATCATCAACATAAACTTCCATGCTCTTCCCATTCTGTTCGGCGAACATTGAATTGACCAGTCTCTGATAAGTCGCTCCTGCATTCTTTAGGTCGAAGGGCATGACTTTATAGCAATATAGTCCCTTGTCAGTAGTGAAGGCTATGTGTTCTTGGTCCGTAGGGTTCATGAGGATTTGGTTGTATCTTGAGTAAGCATCCATAAAGCTCAGGAGTTCACACCATGCCGTAGAGTCTATAAGTTTGTCTATGAGAGGAAGAGGAAAGTTATCCTTTAGGCATCCTTTGTTTAGGTCGGTGTAATCGACATACATTCTCCATAAAACCTTTTGGAGCAGGAAACTTTCCTTGGTCAGATTCTTCTTAACAAGGACAACATTGGCTACCCACGTTGGATAATTGACTTCGCGGATGAAGCCTATGCCTTTGAGTTTTCAACTTCTGCCTTCATTGCCTCATACCGTTCAGTGTCATAGGATCTTCACTTCTGTCTCACTGGCTTGGTCTTGGGGTCAATACTTAAGCGAATGATATCGGGAGAGATGCCTGGCATGTCCTCGTATGACCAAGCGAAGACTTCAGTGTTCTCTTGCAAAAAAAAAAAGATCAATGATAACCGAATAGGTGGTGCCAATCTTCACCATGCGATTCGGATAATCTTTTGAGATAGAGACATTTTCAAACTCTTCAGCGGGTTGTGCTTGCTGGGTGAAAGATTCATGTCGAGGATCATCGGGTTGACTGTTGCCACCGTGAAGATCCAAGTTGGCTTCGTCTAGGCTGGTCTTTCTGACTTAGTCATGTATAGAAACGGTTTCCTTGGGCACAGACACGTGTTGTTGCTTGACCGAAGTGTTGTAACATGATCGTGCACTAAGTTGATCTCCTCTGATGTAACCATTGCCATAGGGGGTTGGAAATTTCATCAACAACATATGTGTGGATACCATGGCCTTGAGATCATTGATGCCTGTGTGTTCGAAGATGACATTGTATGTCGTTGGGCAATCAACCACCAAGAAGTTAGTGGTAATGGTAGCTGTGTAAGGGCCTGTACGAATGGTGAAAGGTAAGTGTATGTTCCCCAAAGGTTGCACGATATCACCGGAGAAGCTTATTAGAGGGGAAATCGGGCAATCGAGCAAGTGTTCAGCTACATTAAGTGCCCTGAAAGCTTCAGCAAACATGATATTGACCGAAGCCCCCATGTCTACCAGGATTCGTCGTACTTCAAAGTTGGCTATGTGAGCTTCCACGATCAGTGGGTCGTTATGAGGCTGGATGATACCTCTTTCTTCCTCAGGGTAGAAACATATTGGATCCCAGTTGCTTTTGATACTTACCTCCCTTGATGTCTTCCACGTGAAACATGTGGTGGCCAGACCTTAAAGCTTGTTCACTATTTTTCATTGCCTTGTTGGAAGATTTAGATATGGGTGTGCCACCACTTATGGAATATATCACATTCACCTGGCGTTGGTTACGGTTACCCCTTGGAGGGTGAAGGAGGAATTGATCAATTTTTCCCTCACGTGCCAAAGCTTCAATATGATCACGAAGGGTGATACACTTCTCGCCGTCATGGCCGTTATGCTCGTGGTAGTAGCAAAACATGCTAGTGTTTTTCGTGGGCTTGTAATTCGGGTGCCTCGGTTTTGGCTTCAGTATCAAGTGTGCTATGCTGGGGTAAATGGCCACGCATGTGGCGTTCAAAGGTGTGTATGCCTTATACCTCGGGGTAGGGGCTGTCCTGACACGTGCTTAACCCACTGTGTTGACTGCTTGGGGTTGGGGATTATCATGGCGATACCCTTGGTTATCGCGGTAGTGTCCCTTATTCTTTTTACTAAAATGAGACTGGTGAGGATGTAAATCTTTCCTTTTGCCCTGAGATTGATATGTCTGTTGACTTGGCAAAGTATTAAGTAAGGCAGGGGGAGACACCGCTGCCGTTTGGAAGGTCGAGGTCTTCTCATTTGG